GCGTAGTGAGTCTGGGCGTTGGCCCAAGCGGTGATGCTTGGGTGTTTATTCAGAGGCTGAAGGGAACAGAGATTTTCGGGAGCTGTAATTCTACTGTGCTCAGTGTATGCTCCCGCTTCCCTTCAGCCCATCCGTACCTGCCTTTCTGCCCTCCGAAGCCATTTTGTGCTCGGGCTGGCTTACCCCGTTTCCCCCAGTCACTTTCCCCGCTACTCCAGATAATACTCTGATATTCTCTCGCTCTCTCTCTCTCTCTCTCTCTCCTGTACGTGCTGCTGCGCGTGCACTGTGGACGACAGTGCTGACAGATAGCTGGATCCAGGCGGGGCGCCTGGCGTGGTGTGAAACAAGTGTGCAGCATTTCTGAGCTACACAAGAAGAATCGTCCCCCAGCCCATGTTTTTACTGCTTGCGAATCTCCCCGACGCCTCAAATGAGACGATTTTGCCTCCTCCTCCTCCTCCTCCTCCTCCTCCTCCTCCTCCTCCTCCTCCTCCTCCTCCTGTTCGAGAGGGACATGGCTCGACTCAAACCAGGCCCTCGACGGCCGACGGGCGGCGTCCCCCCGCGGGGGGCCCCGGGGGGGGGAGCCCCGCCGCCGCCGCGGCCAGTGAGCCGCACCTTTCGCGAGGAGGGCCCCTGGCCCGTCGGAGCGCGAGGGGCCCGGCCCCCGGGGGAGAGACGGAGGCGTCGGAAGGGGGGGGGAGGAGGAGGGGGAGGAGGAGGAGGTGGAGGAGGAGGAGGAGGAGGAGGGAGGGGAGGGGAGGAGGAGAGGAGGAGGAGGAGGAGGAGGAGGGGAGGAGAGGAGAGAGGAGGAGGAGCAGGAGAGGAGGAGGAGGCGCCCCCCGGACGTCGGGGGGGGGGCGGGGGCGGGGGCGGGGGTCGGGGGGCGGGGTGGGGCGGGGGCGCGCAAAAATGGTTCGGTGTCCGGTTCGCATTCCCCCCCTCTCGAGGGCGTCTCGGGCCCCTCTCGGTCCTTCTCGGGCGCCCCCTCGAGCCGCCTTGTGTCGGGGGCGCGCCAGCATGGATGAGCGGTCCATGGATTAGGCGCGCGGTCGCCAAATCCATGGGTCGGGGGAGGTGCCCTCCCCAAAGTGCGGCCAATGCCGCCCCGCTCGGCGGCGGAGATCCGCGATTTCCCTCGGAAACGGGACCCGTCGCTAATCCACGCCCCTTTAATCCAAGTTTGCGACGGCCTGGGTAGGGGGCCACATGCGAACACTACCCTGACCCCCCACGAGTTCTGTGGGTGAGGGTGGGGTTCGCTTCGTTCGAGAACTCCCGAGCGAAGTGAACCCCACCCTCCCCCTCAGAAATCGCGGAGCGTAGGGGCAGGGTTCGCATGTGGCCCCCTATAGGGGGGCTCAGACCTGGGCGCCGTGGGCAGCTCAGGACGGGAGGGTCGTTCCGCCCCAGCTTCGTCGGGCGTTGCCAGGTGGTTCGGTGGCAGCTCATAGGAGCCTCTCCTGCCATCCTGTCGGCTCTGGCGAATCAACGCTCGTCGACGCGAAATCGACGCAAGATCGGCGCCATCGCCTCGACTCCAGACGCTGATCGACGCAAATCGACGCTAAAGACGGAATTAAGAGGGTAGACCAGGCCCACATGATTTGCCAACGAATAATGGTACCCATGGCCCAAGGTGCCCCCAGCTTTTTGCTCAACGTCGGAGCCCCTGGAGCCCTCTGGGCATCGTGAAGGGTGCTCTGGAGACCGCGGGGGCCTCCTGGGAAATCGTGAGAGGACCTTGAGCCAGGGGCACTTCTAGCAACACCCGACTTCGGGGGATCGAAACCCTTACTGGTCGGTCGGGCTCGAGAAGGGCTGCGGAAAGGTAAGGTCAAGAACTCCACTCATGATCTTACAAGACGCCGTCGGATCTCGGGGTCCTCCGCCCAGGCCATGACTACTTCGCATGGCTTCCGACGGCTTCTCCGCCGAGTTCGCACATCGGGTCCCTGCATTTTGTCTCGACCTCCTCCCAGGGACCTGCCTTGGGGAAAGCGCATGTCCTCAAGAGGCCCTGACACAACCTGCATAACGAGTAGTATGCAGCAGCCATTTCAATTGATCTGAACTTTGGTCGAGCATCGGACAGCGGCAGGCGTGATACAAAGTAGCGACCGTGCGCTCCAATACTCGACGCAAGAACCAAGCTGCTGCGCGGTGGAGGTAACTGGCGGCACGTAGCGCTTCAAGATCAGAACTACATGTACCCTGGGCAGCGACGCTTCAAACGCTTTACTGTGATGGTAGGGGGGACGTGGGCCGAAGCTAGGGGGCCCATTCCCGGGATGACTGTGTCGTCGCAGACACCTAAGTTGCATGCCCTGCTGCGTGGCTGCGTCTTCTGGCGCTTCAAGACGGAACAAACACATCCGTCGTTGGGGGGAATTGAAAGGGGGCAAGCCTTCTCAGAAGGCGGCGGGGCTTTTTGGAAGCCATTCACCCTTCAGAGAAGCCGCCTCCGCTTTCGGAGAAGGCTCCGCAAGCGATTCTCAGAAGGCCCGAAGTCTCCTGACCCTTCTGAAACGGCCCGCGCCTCTGCTTTGCCCCTGGGCGCCCCGCCGACGTGACTCCGTCGTCGTCGTCGTCGTCGTCGTCGTCGTCGTCGTCGTCGTCGTCGTCGTCGTCGTCATCGTCGTCGTCGTCCTCAGCGTCGCCGTCGTCGTCGTCGGCGTCCTCGTCGTCGTCCAGCTCTGCCCAGATTGAATATCGTTTAACCGATCCCTGTCCCCCCTCGCGTGGCCTGGGTCCCCTAGCCGGTGTACTTACCCCCCTTCGATGGGGATATCAGGGCAGTTCCTGCCAGATTTCGAAAGGTACATGTCCCCAACTGGGGGGCATGAGATGGTGGGGGTCTAGATGGGGATGGGGCACGTTGATGGGAATGGGGGTCGGCGATGGGGATGGGGATGGGTGGGGATTGGGATGGGGATGGGGATCGGTGAAACGATGCCGAGTCTGGGGAACAAGCGACCCGACACCGCGCAACCGCGCCACGCGCAGCGTTTGGAGCAACGGCCAGAGAGCAGCCCTGCAGAGGAGCTGCGCGGCCCAGCCCCCGGCCGCGGAGAGGGGTGCCGCGCGGACACGGCCACATCGTGCTACCGTGAGCAGAGTAGTCAAGCTGGCCCTCGTTGCGATCTGCTCCAGCCTCGGTCTGGGAGTGTTTTTTTTGCGTCCTGCGGTCACCCATGTTAACGGGCCCGCCTGGCCCCCTACCTCGTCCTCCCAGATGCGTCGACCTTGTCGGTTGCGCATGTGTGAAGGGGGTACAGTTCGGGCGCGGCCGCAAGACCTCGCAAGAAACCAAACCCTGAAAACCCGCGCACGAGGTGCACCTGAGGGGCAACCCGGAGCACCCTGAACGCAGCCGCTCCTTCCCCGGCTACGGGAAGCCACCGAGTGGCGCGCGGAGCAAAGAAACCCAGGATGCCCTGACGAGAAGCAGCTAGTTTCTTGATGCGCGACCCCACTGCACTCGCAAATGGCCTGGATCCGCCGCGGGGGATCATACGAGAGAGTCTGTCGGAGCAGTCGGGCGTTTGAGGCGATCGGTGAGTGAGGAACAGCTGGGCATGGCACGAAGGGGATGCTCTGCCCACGGGCCCCCCGACCCAGCAGCTCCAAGGAACGGCCCGAAAGGAATGGAGCCCCTCCTCTAGAAGAAGAAGAACAAAGAAGAAGAAGAAGAAGACACGGCAGAAACAGAAACCTTTGGCGCTCCGCGCGGACTTCTTGAATCTGCTCCCGCGCGGAGCGTGCCGGGGGGGCGACGCCAGAGGCGACGCCGGGGGGGGCCCAGCGCGGATCCGAGAGATCCGCGCGGAACACCAAAAGTCTATATGTTTGTGGCGCTGTCTCTTCGTCGATCCTCTGCCCCGAAAGCGGTCCTCGTTTCAGCGTCTTCATCGTACCGACCGACCATAACTGGGGGAGCTGTGGTCCTTACCCCCCTGGGGGAACCCATCGCATCGACGATCTATTGAGAGGGGTGTCGAAATCGATGGGTCCCCCAGGGGGGTAAAGACCACAAATCCCACTGTGTTTGTGGCGCTCTTCCTTCGTCGATCCTCTGCGCCCAGCGCGGTCCTCGTTTCAGCGTCTTCACCGTAACTCCTCCCCTCCTCTTCCACCTCCCCCTCGTCCTCGAAATATGTTATGATCCTCCTCCTCCTCCTCCTCCTGCAGCGCCTCCGCGCCCTGGCGGGGTGGGTCCGAGACCGGCAAAAATCACGCGGCGGGCCGCCAGAGCTACACTCCTCGGGCCTCCTGGACGGGTGCAGTGACGCCACACTCTTCGAGGATTGACAGGACCCCCCCTTCGTGGAAGCTCCAATAGAAGTGGAAAACTAGACGAGCGCGTTCCACGACTCGCAGTGACTACTCGCAGATGGCCTGGATCAGCCGTGAGGCACTTGCGATGCATAACATCGAGGCAGCCGTTTGTCTTTCGGGCGTCTGCGAGTAGGCACTCTGCGAGCGGTGGAGCGCGCTCGGTGAGAAACGACACGAACATAAGCTTTCGACGGTCCGCGCGGATTTATTTGGACCTGCGCCGGACACCCCTCCCTGGCGCGAGGAGCGCGCCAGGGGCGGCGCAGGAGGCGCCGCAGAAACCCGCGCGGAGCGCCCACAAAGGATGTTTGTTGCGCCTTCTTCTTCGACTTCAGCAGGAGACCTCCCAGCCAGAGCTGCTGGAGGAAGACGATCCTGCTCCCGCTCGTCCACCGCCTCGTCCCCCGCCCCCCCCTCCCCGACCAGGCACCCGCGTTCCACGACTTGCCGAGTGACTGCTGCTGGCAAATGGCCTGGATCCGCTGCGGGGGATGCACGATAGAACTGACAGCGAGACGAACGTGTGTTTTCTCGGACGTCGTCTGCGAGTAGGCAATCACTCTGCGAATCGTGGAGCGCGCCCAGTGATGCCGACGAACGGGGCGGCGCTGCACTCCGGGCCGGAAAGCGCGCGCGCGGGCACCGGCCCGCGGGCGCGCCTGCGGCCGCCGCGCCTGCCCGGCCTGCTGCCCTCCACCACGGTGAAGCCCTCCGCCTCTGCGCGCCAGGCCGGGCAGCGCCCGCGGAGTGAGCGGGGACCGACCGCCCCGGCATTCCCAGAAGCCTACCACGAGATCTTCTCAGAGCCTGGGAGTGATCCGGAACAAGTCACAGAGGGCCACATGCGAACCCTACCCCCACGATTTCTGAGGGGGCTGGTGGGGTTCACTTCGCTCGGGAGCTCTCGAACGAAGTGACCCCCATCCTCCCCCTCAGAAATCGTGGGGGGTATGGGTAGGGTCCGCATGCGGCCCCCTAAAAAAACCGTCTCAGCCAGGAATATTGTAAGATCATTCGTGCAGACCGCAAGAGGTTCTCAGAAATTTACCCGGTGGGCCTGTATCGGGCGTTGGCAGAACTGGGTTTAGTGCACTGTAGGCGAGTCAGGACGCAATCCCCAATGACCTCACCACGCCATCCGCAGGAATAATTAGTAGCATCGAAGATCGAAGATCGAGGCTTGCCACGTGTTTGGGAGACTTCTTGGGCCTCCTGGAGCGCTCTCGCGGCCACGGCTGGGTGTGCCTCGAAAGGTATGGCCGCAGCACGCCCAAGGAGTGGTCCAAGGGGGGGTGCTTAGGGCCCAGCCTTTCAAGAAACAAAGCGAGACGGCGGGCGTGTCCTCAATTTGTGGCATCCAACAACCCTTATGGCGAGCGGTCGCCTAACTACAACAACTTGCCCGGAATGAGCACTCTGCCTGGATTAAGGGGTCGATATCTGTCCAATTTCCAACCGTGGCGTCATATGTCTGGGGATGAATTGGAAGACTGGCAGGAGCCTCCGGCATGTGGGAACGGGAACGCCGCGGGGGCACCGCGAAAAAACGAGCGAACACGAAGACAGAAGATATGCTTGCATGGACAACGGAAACTACGGAACGTGCGACGAATGCGAATGCCACGAAAGCGACGACGACAACCAAGCAGCGACGACCGCGACAAACCAGCAACGACAACGACGACGAGGACCACGACGACGACGGCGACATCAAACCAGCAACGACGACGACGACAAACCAGCAACGACGACGACGACGAGGACGACGACGAGGACGACAACGACGGCGGCGGCGACGGCGACGACGACGACCACAAATCAGCAAACCAGCAACGACGACGACGACGACGACGACGGCGACGGCGACGGCGACGGCGACGGTGACCCAGCGGCCACGACGGCCAACGGCGGCTGCGCGGGCAGCGGCTGCGGCTGCGGCGGCCAGCGGCTGCGCGGGCACCCGCCTCCATGAGCTCCCGGTGGCTCCGCGGCGCGGGGGCCGCGGGCCCCATGCCCGCGTCGCCGGCGCGGCCGGCGGCGCGGCCGGCGGCGGGCTCCATGCCGCCCCGGGGGGGGGGGCGCCGGGAGGGCCACCAGGAAAAGGGTCGGGAAGGCGGTCGGGGATGGGACGCACAAAGACATACTAACACTAGATATGAAGGGGCCCTGGAATCGACAAGGCCGTTTTGGTTACCGCTTCCGTTTTGCTGTCTTTTAGTTGCCAGTTCCGACGCCGATGCTGTGCCGGGCCCGTCGCCTTTTTTTACTAGCTCGGGCTCCAACTCCAATCCTGAAGCCGTTTTTCTGCCGTTTCGGGTCGCATTTTTTTTTGCCGTTACCATTTTCAAGAGACACGGTTTTCGGAACCGATGTAAAAACGGCCCTGCCGTTTCCAGGGCCCAGTACTAGATGTTCCCCTTGGAAGCACGCGTCCGACCCGAACATATAGTGTACCCATCTTGCAGTATACCGTTTCCCGAGCGGTGTGGCCAAAAAGCGCCTGCCAAGTGCATATACTATCGAATTTCTCGGTGCGCGCGTCACCCGTGGGGAGGCGACGCACTCCTAGTATTAGTATGTTGGGGTGACGCCTATAGGAGGCCGTCAGGAACGGCGCTGGAAACAGCGTCGAGTGGAAGATTGGACGAGGAGTTAGGGAGGTCGGGTGGGGAGTCGGAGACGGGGGTCGCGAGGGGGGGGGGGGCACGGAGGGAAGAACGGACCCAGACACCCGCGGGTCATGAGAGCAGCACGACGGAGGGTGCTTCGTCACTCTCCGGCCCCCGAGAGAGCCCCACCCAGGGCCGTCACAAAAAAACTGCTCTGGACGCAAGGCCGCTCCTGGAGAATGCGTCGGGACCTCTGGGGGGTCGATGCACCGGCAGAAGAAAAAGCATGACGTCCGAGGCCGGGACAACGGGGGAGCAGGAACAGGAACAGGAAGCGCTGCGGGCAACGTCCCGCGCCCGCACCTAGGATTAAGTCGGGCCTGTCCCCCTACAGGGAGATTTTCGACGAAAAATAAAAAATAGCCAAACAATCATCAACAAGTACTTCAAAAATAGTCTGGGGACTATCTTTTTAAGATATGTTTTGGCCTTTGGGGGTATTTTTGGGGATATGTTTTATTTTTCGTCGAAAATCCCCCTGCAGGGGGACCGGCCCGACTTAAACCTAGGAAGGCGTCGGGCTCGCTAGTGGCGAGGACTCGCGCCACATGGCGGGCGGCGCTCGGCGCCACCGCCGCAGCGCAGCGAGCCCCCCCATGGGCGGCGTGGCATGCCGCCCCGTCGCCCCCAGCCGCGCAGGCCACTCCAGGACGAGTTTGAAGGGGCCCTGAGACACACAAATAAGTACGCACAAATAACTGGATTCCCCATATGTTCCTATATTTTCTGTGTTTTTGACTTCCCCCCCACTTCCAATATTTTCCCATGTTTTCGGGGGAATCGACGATTAATTGTGTCTGTGTGTTTCTTTCCCTCCTGAGAGTTCTGAGGGCCCCCAGTTGGCGGCGCGCCAAGGGGGGGCAGAGGGAGGGGGAGGGGAGGGGAGGGGGGAGGATTGTGCCTGTTAGGCGGGCCTTACATCTACCGAGGCAGTCAACCTCCATGATAAGGATGCGCCATTAAGGATGCAAGGGCCTGGGAAGGCCGTCTCGAAGCTTCTCGAGCGGGGCGCGGCCAACGAAAGTGGCCAAGGATGGGCCGAAAAGGCAAGGATGCGAGGGTACCCTTGGGGAGGATGCCGATCCCTACAGTGCGGGCTGACTGTAAGGCCCGCGCCTTCTAAAGAGCAGGGGGTGCTTCAGAGAAGCCCTCCTCCCTCCACCTGCCTCCCCCTCTGCGCGTGGCTGACACCTGGTCGGCGGCATGCCCACTCCTCCACCGCACTGGGGGCGTCTTGCGCGCGCGCGCCGCTGCCAGGCGGGAGGGCGAGGGCAGCCGCGGCGAAGGGGCCCCCGGAGCCCGACCAGAGCGCACCCGGGGCCACCCAACGAGCCGGCGCGGCGGCCGACTCGTGTCGCGAACGCTCCTGGGGGGGGCGGGAAAGTAGGAGGAAGAGCAGGGAGGAAAGGGGGGGGGGGGAAAGGCAGGCGGGGAGGGAAGAGGGGAAGGGAGGGAGGAATGGAAGGAGGGAAGGGAACGGAATAAGGGAGGGGCGATGGAGCGAGCGAGCGTTGATACTGCCCCCTTGCGTGTTCCCGGAGCGCCTCGTAAGGAAGTCCGCGGCGGGGCGGCGGGGGGGGAGGCGAGGAAGAGGAAGAGGATAAGAGGGGAGGGGAGGAGGGGGAACGCGCCTGGCGGCGGGGCTGCAACCAGCCGCATGCAGCAGATTCCGCGATCCCCCCCCTTCCCTTAGGTGGGGCATGTCCTCCTGCAGGCGGATGATGGTAGACGAGCACAACATTTAGCAAAACAAGAAAAACACAAATACTACAACGATCGCGAAAAGAACTGCCCCTTGCTAGTATTTAGCGTTTCATGAACGTTCCTTCTGTAGAGGGGCATGCCCGACTTCACCTTCCCCCAATCCCCCCGTCCTTGGCGGCGCGCACAAGGGGGTGGAGGGAGGGGGGGGCTTCTTAGAAGGGGGCTGTTTCTTAGAAGACGCCGGCCTTACATCTGTAGAGAAGGCCCGCGCCTTCTGAGAGCCAGGGGTGTTTCTGAAAAGCCCTCCCCCCTCCCCCCACCCCCCTCTGCGCGTGGCTGGCATCCCTCGTCCGACCCGAACCTCGACCACCCGACGCCCCTGGCGGCGCACAGAGGGAGGCACGGGCTCCCCGCCTCGGCGCGGCGCCAGGTCTCGGCGCGCTGCCCCGCGCCGCCGACGACCCCGCCAGCCGACCCCGTCGAAGTCGTCGTCCTTGTCGGCAGCGTCACCGCCGTCGTCGACGGCGTCCCTCTCTGTGTCCCGCCTCCACCTCCTCCCGGTTCTCCCTGGTCCTGCTCCTGGTCCTTCCCCCTCCATCACTCCTCCTCCTCCTCCTCCTCCTCCTCCTCCTCCTCCTTCTCCTCCTCTTCCTCCTCCCGACGCCCGGCCGGGCGGTGGATCAAAGCCCCGAGTCCTCCGGCCTGGGCGGCGGGCTGTCAGCATGTCGCCAGGAGCGCCCGAAGGAGCTCCAGCTCGCACGAGCTCCCTGGCCACGCGCGCACGAGCTCCCTGGCCAGCGAGTGCGACCTCGCAGGCGACGGCGCCCCTGGGCCGGGCAGCACAGGGCTGGGGGCGGTCAGGGATAGCTGCGGAGTCGCGCCTCGTCGGGCGCCCAGCCCTCCCGGATCAGCAGGGCCTTGCCCCGCGGCCAGCTGCAGGGGGCCTCGCCCGTGCGCTGCCAAGGGCGGGCCTCTCTGCGACCGAGAAGGGTGGCGCTCGGCAGGCGGTCGGCGGTGCTCCGAGGGGAGGACTGGACCGGGCTGGAGCAATCGCGACGCGGTGGGGGACGTTACGCTGACCTCCTCCGAGCCAGCGGCGAAACGGAAGCGCTCGACGACGAGCTCTGGACATGCCGGCGCCGAGAGGAACAGAGCGACGGGCGTGGCGATGAGACCCGAAGGCTGAAGCGTACGGGACACGGCGGTGCTCCAGAGGGGGGGAGCAGTGCGAGACGGGCAGGTCTTCTCTCAGGTCGGGCATGTCCTCCTACAGGCGGATCCTCGAAGAAAGAGGAAGGGTGGCACTCGGCAGACGGTCGACGGTGCTGCAGACTCGGATTCGGGGTCGATCTACACAGCCGAACGACTGACCCCCCAGTGACGGGCAGAGCGGTGCGCTGCCGGAGCGCGGGCGGACCCGCCCTGAGCAGCAGTGCCATGGAGATATATAGCTTCGCTTAGATGTCCGTGTAGCACTTCGCTCAGAGGTCGGCGGCACTTCGAGGGGGGACAGTGAGAGAGAGGCAGGCCTCCAGATCGGCACGTCCTCCCACAGGCGGATCTGCGAAGAGAAAGCAAACACAACATTCCACACATGCTCAAACGGAGTCCAAGCCTGGTGCATGGCCGAAACGTCGCCCCCTGACTATGTGTTGTGCACGATTATTGCAACTTGAATCGACTCCTCCTGTAGAGGGACATGCCCCACTCTGGGGGCTTCCAGGCTACAGTCGGGGCCCTGAAGAAGGAACCCTATTCGTTTGGGAGGGGCTCCGCGTTCCTTAAGTGTTTCACAGCTTGCCTCAGGTGTTCCTTATGTTTTCGATGGGAAATCGAAGTTTAACTTATGGAGAAAAGGGGGCTCCTTCCTTATTTTGGGTTCCTTAGGTCAACGCCCCGACGGTATCTGGCAAAGCCCGCCGCCTCTGCCCTCCCGCCGCGTGCGCGCCGCCGAGTCCGCGGGGCGCCCTCCCGCGGCGCGGCCCCGCTGGAGAACGCCTCGGCTGCTGCGGGGGCCCTGGCCGCTGCGGGCGCTGCGGCGCCCTCTCCCGCCACGCTCCCGCGGCGTTCCCCCGCGCGAGCGGCACTCCCCCATGCCCCTCTCCCCTGACACCTGCCTGCGCGGACGCGCCCGACCGCCTCCGCCTCCTCCTCCCCTTCCTCCTCCTCCTCCTCCTCCTCCTCCTCCTCCTCCTCCTCCTCCTCCTCCTCATCCTCCTTTTGCTCCTCCTCCTCCTTTTGCTCCTCCTCCTCCTCCTCCTCCTCCTCCTCCTCCTCCTCCTTCTGCTTCTCCTCCTCCTCCTCCTCCTCCTCCTCCTCCTTCCGCGCCTCCTCCTCCTCCTCCTCCTCTTCCTCCTCCCTCCTCATCCTCATCCTTCTGTTCCTCCTCTCCCTCCCTCCTCCCTCCTCCCTCCTCCCTCCTCCTCCTCCTCATCCTCCTTCTGCTCCTCCTCCTCCCTCCTCCTCGTCCTCGTCCTCCTGTTCCTGCTCCTGCTCCTCTTCCCTCCTCCTCCTCGTCCTCCTGCTCCCGCTCCTGCTCCTCCTCCACCTGCGCGCGCGCGGGCGCGCGCGCGCGAGGCAGGCGGAGGGGCGCCCGCACGCCTTGCCGCTCGGCAGGACCCGCGTGCCGAGGGGGCGGCCGGCGGCGGCCGCGGGGAGGGCCTGCAGGGCCGGCTGGCGGCGTCCGGTGGCAGCCGTGGGGGGGAGGAGGAGGAGGAGGAGAAGGAGGAGGAGGAGGAGGAGGAGGAGGAGGAGGAGGAAGAGGAGGAGGAGGAGGAGGGGGAGGAGGAGGGGGAGGAGGAGGGGGAGGGGGAGGAGGAGGGGGAGGTGGGCCAAGTGGCGGCCCGCGGGGGCGTCTGGAGGCTCTTCCTGCCGGACTTGAGTCGGGCATGTTCCCCTGCAGTCGGGTTTTGGGCAAGAGCCACGCGTAGTCCAGAAGATGCCTCCGAACAGCCCACACGTGCTCGACTGAATCGTCCTCCTCCTGCGGAGAGACATGCCCGACTTGAGACTACCAAACCCCGACCACCGTCCGCGTCCACGGTGTGGCAAGGTCACGACGTCGGAGATCTGGGATTCCCGGAGTGAGGGGAGCTGGGGGAGGCGGGGCTTCCGAAGTTAGGGGCCACATGCGAAACCTGCCCCTACCCCCCACAATTCTGAGGGGGAGGGGGGGGTCACTTCGTCCGGGAAGTCTCGAACGAAGTGAACCCCACCGCCCCCCTCAGAAGTCGTGGGGGGTAGGGGCAGGTTTCGCATGTGGCCCCCTAAAAGTGCGGGGTGAGCGGCAGGGGGAGGGGTGGGCTCGGGATGGAGGATGGGGCCGGGAAGGAGGAGAGAAGAGGACTGGAGAGGGGGAGCTCCTAGAGCGTGGGGGAAGGGCCGGCGGGCTGCTCGGATGGAGGCAGGGCGGCATGCTGCTCTGTGCTCTCGCGCGGGAGGCGCGGAAAGCACGGGGGGTGGTGCCCCCCCCCCCCCCCGCGAGGATTCGATTCGATTCGATTCGATTCGAAAGCACTTGGGGCCGATCCACCAATCTGATGTCTTCCGCACGCCCGTCCTGCGTGCCTGTAATATGGAGGCTGAAGCAGCAGCATCCAAATAAGCAACCGTGCAACAGCATAAACTTTCGTGCCCTGTGCGGCGAAACTCGCCAACCTCTCGGTTCCTTTGGATCGCGACCCTGCGGCGGTCACATAACTGCTAGGCCGCGGGAAAGGCTTCGGCGGGGAAGGCCCCGTAGCGATCCCGCTGGCACTAGCAGCACTCTCAGGATTGCTTGTCCTTCCCTCCGCCCCCCCGCTCACGACGACGACGGCCCCCCCCCCCCCCTTCCCCTTCTCAGTCGAGAGCGCCACTAAAAAATGTTGGCTAGACGGCACGGCCTGCGTCACCTGGCCTCTCTCGAGCAGCTCCCTAAAACGCACGCTGTCTCTGAATGGCGCCGGCGCGCTCATTAACCTCGACGCTGCAGCATGTTTGTGATCTGCCTCTCCAGCGGGCCCTTCGGAGCGGATCCGACGAGCTGCGTTGCCTTCAGGTCCGTCAAAGCCGCCTCTAGGAGCACGTTCGCTGCGGAGCTGAACGGGTTAGGCCCCAGTGCGAACTGCATCCTGACCTTGCCCTCCATCTTCTTCGAGCCTGGCCCACGCGGCGCCCGCGCAGCGAAGCGGCGGATCATCGAGCCCATGTACTGCGGCGACTTCTCCTTCGGGTGCAGGTTGAAGTACTCCTCGGCTTTCTTCTGGATCTCCTCTGGCGCCATCTTCATGAGCGCCCTCGTCGCCATGAAGAACACGGTGATGAATGGCGGCCCTGGCGTCGACAGATCCACACCCTCGCCCGCCGCCTTTCGGTCGTGGAGAGCCTTGACCATGTCCGCGTAGAACTTGTTGGCGGCCAGTCCTGCTTTGGCTAGGTACGACTCCGCGGGGATGAGGTAAGTCGACAGCACCACGGACGAGAGCAGCGCCTGCTCGCGGGCGGTGGCGAGAGAAAGCATGGCGACCTTTGTCACGAGGCTGTCCTCGCCCTTGCCCTTGCCCTTCAGCTCTTTCTGGCTTTGCTGCTGGCCGTCGGGTGCACCTTCGGCCTTCCGCTTCGGCGCCAGTTGAACTCCCGCCCACGGTGGGGCCGAGTCCTCGCCGAACATCTCCGTGTCCACATCTATGATGAGGGGCGCGCTGCAGATGCAGCCGAGCGCGTTGGTTGCATTCACGAAGACAATGATGTTCTGAACCGCAGACTCTACAGACCAACGCATCTGGAACCACGAGCTCTGTTTTCGTCGACGCTTTGTTTCGAAGACATCGTCCACGAAGTAGGGCCCCCTCCAGATGTTTGCACGCCGTGAGGCGCTCACCGAAGACTTCCTCGCATGCTATACATTGATTCGTTATCGTGAGACCATGCGAGAGTTTAACACTGTTATGTACAATGCGTACGTGATTTGCTAGTCCTGACCTACAACTAAAAGTGGCCCCACAGGGGCCAGACTCGTCCTACCAGGGGCACGTGTGCAAGCGCTCGTTGAGATGGGCCCCAACTTCCTCGGCCTCGGGGGGCACCGACGGGTCTCCAGGAGGCTGAAGTCCAAAGGGGCCTGGGGAGATCTGCGCACTGAGGGCGGCTCCTCTGAGAATATTTATATCGACTCGGCGGAAGCGCGCAGCGAAGTCTGGCTCGAACCATCTTTTTACCCGACCTCGACAATCGGACCAGAGGTCAGTTGCCTCTTCAGACACCAGCACAAGCTGCTCGATATCTGCCTGGACCCTCAAAGCCCACGGGTTAGCATCGGGTCGAATTGAAGCTTGTTCGCCAAGCGCATCCTCTCCAAGGAAAACGCCAAACCACGCAGCTATCAGCTGTCTGTGGGACTCGGGGAACGAGCAAATACCTTGAAACCATCTAAGTCGTCGAACTCTAAGTTCAACGCAGAGCGGAATGAATTTCCAGTATTCCAGCACCTGCTGGGACGACAGCGAACGAACGTGGTGCGCATCTTCCCAGCTGGCGTTTCCTCTCATCGCTCTGCGGCACAGGCCGGCTACTGCGAGCTCCAGCTTGCGAAGTTGGCCTGAGCTTGGAATATGAGACATTCAACCGCCGAAAAGGCTGAGATAACTACATGACATAACAGAACACAGCGTTTCCATGTATACGGGATGTCCGGCGCCTGCCAAAAAACGCCCTAGTCTGAAATAGGCCGTCTTAGCGGCCTGGATCCGTTTTCCGAGTTCAATATGAAAAAGACTGGGCGGAGGTCAGCCGAGGTCCCAGATATCTCACGGCCTCTCCGCAGCTACACTCCACGTTGCGCAACATGCAAGCTACTCCACGCTTGGCTGAGGGCGGGGCCGAAAAAAAAGCCTCTTGTTTCTTGGGGTTACGTTTGAGGCCGATCTTCGCCAGCTCAGCGTCAAGCAACTCATCATTCTTCTGCGCAGTCCATCTAGCCAGGTCCACGGAAAATCGCGGGCCGAGGACCAGCTTTTTCAAAAGATCGTCGGCGGATTTTGCGAGTCCCAGGTAGACCTTGGGCGGTTGTAAAAAATCACAGCGTGCTTCTAAATCGCGCTCCTGGGGATCCGGTTCGCGACACTTCGGGGCCCAGCGATCGACAGGAGGGCGAAACACGTGGACGAACGACTCCACAGCGAAAAGGCCCCCTTGGAGCATTCCGCACCCCGTTTTCAGCAGGAGGTCTCCACCTTCCGCTGGGATGCTAGTGCAGGCCTGCCTGCACCGCTGGTGGCAAAGCCGCGTCCCCCCCCCCCCATGGCCATGTCGTAACGGCCTCGTCTACAGCTGGCCACGCTGGTGAGGCAAAGGCATTGCTTAAATCTTTAAGTGAGTCTATCCAGTATAGACTTGCCTTGTTCAGTCGCCAAGAAGTGCAAGGGTTGGCGGCGATCGCATCTTCTCTCCTCCTACGACGCAAAAAGCCGTGGTCCAACTCCGAGTCTTGGTACGACGGCCCACGTTTCATTATTCGTTTCAGGAAGGCTTTGCCGAGCGGGTCCAATCCGTGCACAACCCGACGCCCAGCAGGGCCAGGCAACGCGCTCTCCTGAAGAGCAAACCCCTGACTGAGAGACCACAGACTCGGGAGAAGACCAGACTGTCTGATTGAAGAAAAAAACGCGATGCAACCAGCTTCTAACCTGTTCGCCAGACACCTCCGGAGATTTCGAGCCAAGTCCAGCACAGCGACGAGGGCCCTCCTCGGGGGGCTCACCGGCCCCCAGGCACCACAATTCCACAGGCAAGGACCACCTAGGACCCCCCTGTCTTTTAGAAGCTGATTTTAAATACGCTTGAAACGATGCAAGATCCCCTATGGCATCCTTATGGGATTGATCAACGCGCTCCTGCCGAAACAACGGCGGGGCAGGAGGCCGCCGAAATCGCGCCCTTTCCCGCGCCAGGTCCCCCCACTCCAACCTCGGCGCCAACATCCCCCCTTCCCCTCCAGTCTTGGACCAGGCCTCCAGCCATTCGTCCTTGGTCGGGAGCGCACCCTGCAGGCGTGAGAAGTCACGCTTGCCGCTGCCGAAACGGCCGCCAGCTAGTCGCAAGGTCCGGCGATGAACCTCGGCCAAATTGCGCCGCCTCCATGCCTCGTAGATCTCCTCTACGGGTGCCTCCTGCTTTCGTTCGTATGCCCGCTTGCGCTGCTTGTGGCATTTCTGGGTGATGGCCTTCAGCGCGGTGGTGCACTCCTCGAGCTCCGATGGATCACATTCATGCAGCTGTACTCGTAGCTCGCGCCTCTGCGCCAGTAGCCGAAGACGCTCCTGCTTGTCGGTGTCGACGTGGTCCTTGGCTCCACGGTCGAAAACATGTATTCCCACCTCTCGCATCGCAGTACCCAAGGTCTTGAGAAGCTCCTCAGACGCGTCGTCGGCGCGAGCATCGAGGTTCAGCTCCGACAGCTTTGACTCGGCAGCAACCACAAAGTCATACCTCTCACGAGTGCCTCGGAGGGCGGCCATTCACTTATCTTTGTCCCACTTCACTTCCTCCTATTCTGCTCCATCAGGTGCTCGCCAGGCCGGGGTCATCTCGTCATCGATGTCTATGTTGGGTTCGATCCGAGCGCGCACGGGGAGGTGATCCCGATGCCCAGCGACAGGTATGTGTTGCAGCTTGGTGCCCATTCGTTTCAACGGTCCGTGAGATCGAACTTTAGCTGCTACCGATAGTGGGACAATGACAAAATCATGCTTTTGTTTCCATGCGCAGCACAGAAGGTGTGCGCAACTCTCTGGGACGAGGTCGTGAAAACCATACAGATTTCCTCCATAAGCTCGCGACGTCTATGCCCAGCTCCGTAAACATGTCGTTCTTGTGTGACTCCAATTCCTATCGCCTGCTCACCGATGTTCCTACACTGGCCGTCATGCCCATTCCACCGTTCACGTAAGTCATGATGAACGGAATGGCTGAGTGCGGGGCTTTGCCGATCGATATGGATGCCCATCTCGTCAGTTTCTCACAACACGATAGGTCAGTTGGTATAGCGTTTCTGTCCGACGGCTTTGGTGGATACTACAACGCCATCGCATAGTAAAACATGTCTCTGAATCTGAAGTACACTCCCACACCCCTTCCCTGCAATTGAGTCGGTGGCGTGTCTATTCGCCGTATATATTTATGCGGCCACCTTGGTGGCAACATGAACGTGCACCCTGCGCATTTGTTGCTAAATCTACTGTGCCTCCATGCCGCAACAACTGCAACTGTGTCCACTATTCGTGTGACGCGATAAGACTCCCCCATGAGCGCCTTGCAACATGTTCCCTGCAGCCCAATCATCCCAAAGTTGCTGGCCTCTGCTGCTATATCTTCCAGCCGCGCATTCGATCCGTATAGGCACTTGAAAAAAGAGTAGCAAGTGTGTAAATCCGCTGCTAGCCAGCCGCCACGTGGTAGTGATAGTAAGTGCCGTACAAGTAAGTGTGTCACTTCGGATCGCGCGCGCGCGGGAGAGGGAGCAGCAACGGCGGCGCTCCCCGCGAGGAGGAGGAGGAGGAGGAGGAGAAGGCAAAGAGGAGGCAATGAGGAGGAGGAGGAGGCGGAGGCAAGGAGGAGGAGGGAGGGAGGGAGGAGGAGGGAGGGAGGGAGGGGGGCATGCAGGGGATGGCCGAGGGAGGGCGCAGGGCAGGGCGGGGGTGGCTGCGGTGGGTCCAGCCCCGCCCAGGCCGCAGTCCAGGAGGCGCGGCCTGCCACACAGGCGTGGCGTGGGGCCGCGAGAGCGGAGGGGACGAGCGAAAAAAGGGGAGGACAAGCAACGGCAAGAAGAGAAGGAGCAAGGATGAGGCAAGAAGCGAAGGAGACAACGAGCAGGACGAGCAAGGAGGAGCACGGCAATGAGAAGGACGAGCAAGGAGGAGGCAAGGGAAGCAAGGAGGAGGCAAGGAGAAGCACGGCAACGAGCAGGACGAGCAAGGAGGAGGCAAGAAGAGAAGGATGACAGCGGCAGCGACTGGCTGCAACGACGGCGACGACGAGGTCGCCGACGACTGCCAGAAAAGAGATGGAGCATTGCGCGGGCGAAGTGCGAAGCGACGGGAGTCGCGCGGGGAGGATGGGAACAAAAAAAGATGGGGGGTGGAAGGGAAGGAAGGCGGGGAGAAGGGGAGAAGTGGAGAGCCGGGTGGAAGGGAGGACAATGAGGGGGGGGACAGGGAGGAAGGGCGGGGCGAGCAGAACGACGACGCGAACCTCCCCCTCTGCTCGCCCTCCTGTTGAACCAGGTGTCCAGGCGGCGGTGGCAGAACATTGAGGAGGCGGTGCGATTGACAACCACGGCGATGATCATGAGAGCGGGCGCTCTGCCTTGCTCGTGTGTCGCCCTCGATGCTGGCCTCCTCATGATCGATCGCGCCCCCCCCATTGGGGGGATTCCTTCTGCATGCGGCTGCGGGCGCACTCGGACGAACGAGCGAGCGAACATGGGGTATGTCGACCCCTATCCCAAGCTTGGTGGGGTTTTCGAATGGACGAAAAGTTTAAAGCACAACCCGTGGGAATGCGATTCGGGGGCGGATAAGAGGGGGGCGTCCAAAAGGGGGGGGGAGGCGCAAATCATGGCCGGCGGCATATGCGCGGACCAAGGGGGTAGGCCTGGGACGCATTCAAGGCCTCAGCCTTTCAAGGCGTCCATCCTCGATAGTGGTGCGTCCAAATAGCCCCCTTGCGGTGTGTCGCAGGGCTCCCCTCCTTTTCTGAGCGGCTTCATCATTCGTCGAAAAGGACACGTCGCCTGCGACGGAGGAGCCCCGCGTTGAGAGCTACTGGGCCTCGCGTTCCTAGGGGCCCCGTGAGGCCGCCACTTTCTTCCTGGTCCCTTAAATAATGCTAACACCACTGGGAACGATTGTTTGATTTCTACTTAGACGTTGTTTCAATTGTTGGGTCAATGTGTTTGGGGGTTCTCGTTCGCGCCGTTGTCGGTTCGGTTCCGTGTTGTAATTGCTGCCGTCGTTGTTTGTTTCTGATGTGTTCTGGCCTTTTCTGCCTGTCCTTTTGGTTTGCCGAATATCGAAACTTTGAGCCCAACAAAAGCGGCCCCAGCGCTCGCAACCTAAACTCAGCTTGGCCCCCCGCTGTAGGCCACCGGCACGACGACTACGGGGACCACGACGACGACGACAGACACGACGACGGAGACAACGACGGCAGGACATCCCAGACTCGGATCGGCGGAAATCGGCAGCCAAGTCGGGAGGAGTCGAATCGGCTGAAATCGGCGGAATAGAAAAGCATCATTGATCACTATCGTTCAACCGACCCCATCCTCATCCTCATCCCCTTCGAGACCCCCACCAAATTATCCCCCCAGTTGGGGATACATCCCTCGAAACCCGAAGGGAACGGCCTACATCCCCATCTGGGGCGGCAAATCGGCCAGTGGGGTCCAGGCCACGCCGCTGGCTGGGGATGGGAATCGGCCAAACGATGCGCACTTTACGCCTCGGAATCCGCATCGAAGTCCCAAGTCGAATCGCATCGGAGTCGGAATCCATCGAATAGGGGGCCACATGCGAACCCTGCCCCTACCCCCCACGATTTCTGAAGTGAACCCCACCCTCCCCCTCAGAAATCGTGGGGGGTAGGGGTAGGGTTCGCATGTGGCCCCCTATCGAAGACGATTCGAATCGAATCGGGGGCATCGAAGCGAGCCCGACGGCAACGGAGACGACGACGACGCCGCCCGGGAAGGAGGCGAGGGTCGCGCCGCGGGGGCCTCTGCGCCCGCAGACCGCGGCGCGGCGGCGAAGGGCGCGCCAGCTGCCTGGGGAGGGGATGCTCTGCGCGGCGAGCACGTTCCTCCTCCTCTTCCTCCTCCTCCTCCTCCCTCCTCCTCCTCTTCCTCCTCCTCCTCCCTCCACCTCCTGCCTCTCTCCCCTCCTCTCCTCCTCCTCCTCCTCCTTCTCCTCCTCTCCTCCTCCTCCTCCTCCTCCTCCTCCCCCTCCTCCCCCCCTCCTCCTCCTCCTCCTCCTCCTCCTCCTCCTCCGCCCCTCCGCCTCCTCCTCCTCCTTTTTTCCTCCTCCTCCTCCTCCTCCTCCTCCTCCTCCTCCTCCTCCTCCTCCCTCCTCTTCCCCCTCCAGGTGGCTTCGTAGCGCGCGGCGACCCGCAGCCGTCTTGCCCTGCGGCGGGCGCGCCCGCCGAGCGATAGCCCCCAGCCCCATGGCGGGGCGACCTCGCGAGCGCGAGCGCTCGCCGGCGTGGCACCGCAGGGAGCGGCGCCAACGCTCAGACGCTCGTGCTCGGCTTCGGCGGCACCGAGACCGCCTGCTGCTGCTGGAGCACCACGGCAGCCAGCCGCCCATGTATGGTTCGCGCAGCGCCGCCCCAGCGGGAGCCGCACGGGCGGCGCGGCAGGGGCGCAGCGGCGATGGCCTGGCTCTGGCTGCTCCCGCTGGTGGGGCCCCGTGCCCGACATGCGGATGCCGCAAGAACGAGGCGTGGAGGCGGTTCTGCAAGCACTGCAAGGGCGAGATCGTGCCGTCCCAGGCTCCTCCTCGCCGCCCTCGCTCTGCTGAACGGCGTGCTGGCACGCAGCGTGCGCCATGGCAGGAGGACGGTGCCGCAGCACGGCGCGACACCCTGCAGCGTGGCCCAGGCAGCAGAGCTGACACGGCAGGAGGAAGGCCACGCGAAGGCTCCAGGGTGCGTTTTGCCCTGGCCAACGTGGAGGAGCTGCCCAGCGGGAGCGACGCCGATCCCGAGGAGGCCAAGCTGGTGCAGCTCATCAGCCTGCTGGAGCTCAGCCAGGACGAGTGCGGTGTGCGGAAGTACCAGCAGCAGCTCGACGACCTCCGCAGCGCTCGTCGGGCGCGGCCTATGTCGGTCGACGAGGCGATGGCAGCCAGGGACGCAGCTGCTGATGCACTGGACAAGGCCGTCGAGCAGGCTGAATCGCTCCAGATCCAGATGGACACTGCCAAGGCGATGGTGGCCTCCCGCTCCGCCCAGCATGATGCAGCTCTGGCGGCTTACACTACTGCAGCGCAGGCCCTGGCGCAACAGGTGGCTGGCGCAGCGCCGCCGACGGCTGGCGAGGCACAGTCGGGGCGGCTGTCCATCGCCAAGTTGCTCCAGGGCGACAACGTGGAGCTCGACGACGAAGGACTCTTCGGGTTGGAGGCCCTCGAGGACTACGAGATCCAGGAGTCCGACCGCGAGGAGGCCGCCAGGAGGAAGGCCGACCTCCGGGCCAAGTTCAAGGCCATGGCGCACGAGGCCTTCGGCAAGTTCGTCTCCGAGGCCCGCGAGCTTGAGCGGCAGCACGCGGAGCTCAATAACTGCCTCCAGAAGAAGCGCAAGACTGCTGATGCAGCGGAGGGGGGGGCGCCCGTCCAAGCGACGAAGGCGAGCGCCACGGCAGCCCCCGAGGCTGGCGCGCCTGCAGGCCCTGCTGGCGGCGCCGCCGCCCCAGGTGCACCCTCGGCCGAGGCCAGCAACGACGTGGTGGAGGCGGCGCGCGCGCGCCTGGCAGCCGCTGCCAAAGGCGCTGGCCGTGGTGCCGGCAGCAGCGGCGGGGCCGCGGCCTCTCCACGGAAGTCCGTTTGACGGCCCTGCAGCGGGGCACCTACACCATCGGCCACTACAAGTTCATGAAGATGACGCCTCCCCGGCTCCTGTGGGCGATACACCTCCGAGGAGGTGCCGCGACTGGTCTGGCAACTACTACGTGAGGCACTGCGCTGATCAGCAGTGGACTTTCTCCTTTCCTGCCTACGCTCCTGCATGGGGGCCTGGTTTAGTCTCGGGGGGCTACTTCTACCAGGGCTGCGAAAGTGACGGCAACAATTTTCACTTCTACAGGTACTGCGACCAAGGCGGACCGACGCACGATGACTGGCAGGGCGAGGCTGGCCCCTACATCTGCATTGGGAAGGACGCGGACCCAGGGAGGCAGCGGGCACCTGATCTCCAGCGAGACCTCGCACGTGTTGACCTCGAGTGTAGCGACCCTGACGATTCGGGTGGCTCCACCACGGCGAGCTCCGACGGTGCGGCGAAGATCGCTATACGGCGATGCAGCACTACTGCGACGCGGCGGGCACGCGCTCTGGGTCGTCGGCGTCGGCGGGGACTTCGGGCTGCAGCAGCCCGTCCTCATGCTGGGCACGTTGCACCGCAGAATGGAACTTGTTCTAATATCAGATGCAGGCCACAAGCCATCGCATACTCCAGGTGCCGACCCCCTGGGCGTCCCGGGTCTCGGAACGCTGACCCCTCCGTCTCCCAGAAGGCTGTCGCGGTCGGCGAGCCTTCTGCGTCGGTCCAGCTGGACCAAATCGGCCCTAGCTCGGCCAGAGAGAGCGACGGCGAGGTGGGCCCTGGGGTGGCGGTGTCGCCCAGGGTCTCGGCAAGACAGATGAGTCGACATCGGGGTAGAGCCTGCAAGGTCATGACCGTCAACGTCACGGGCTGGGGCTCCCTCCTTACGCAGCCGGAGGAGAAGCGCATCCCCGATGACGCGCAGGCTGTGCTCATTCAGGAGCACCACCTGGAGGAGGCCAGGCTCGAGGCGGCGATGAAGGCTGCCAAGGCGCACGGTTGCAAGGCTGACCTGCACCCCGCCCGTCGCACTGGCAACGGCGACGGCGCCACGGGAGGGGTCGGGCCCCTGGTCAGGCCCCGCGTTGCCTTGCGGCGCCTGCAGTTCAACCACGACGGGATCCACGCGCCTGGCACCGCACGCCAGGGGTTCTGGAGCACAGATCTGGGGCCCAAGGAGGGGCTGGTGCTCGCTGGCCTATACCTGCACACCAGCAAGGACCTAGAGGACGTCAACCTCGACCTCCTGTTCCAGATCGGCAGCGTGCCCCATGCAGCCGATAGGCCCTACGTGCTTGGAGGAGATTGGCAGAATTTACCTGAGCCCCTCAACTGTCTGCGGTGGCCCAAGGCGGTGAAGGGAGAGTTTGTCGCGCCCAACCAAGCCACGTGCTACACCGCAAACAGCGCCAGGGTCATTGACTACTTCTTGGTTCGTCAGGATCTGCATGGCTGTAGAGCCCGCATCTTTGATGGACTATCCGTTGCCCCGCACAAGGGCGTCATCTTGGGGCTTAACGCCCAACGCGTCCCGCTCATGGTGCGCAAAGCCCATATGGCCAAGCCTTTTCCGTCGAGGCAGCTTGTGGGGCCGCAGTTACCTGGGCCTGACTGGCAGGCGGTGCAGGACATGGCGGCGGCAGTCGACACGACGAGTGAGCTGGATGCGGCGTGCTGTGGATGGCTGGGACGCTATGAGGGCGAGCTGATCCACCACTTCGGCTGCGAGCAGCCCGAGCGCTACCGTGGACGCTCCGACGGCATTCGCCTGGTGTACTCGACCCTGCAGATGCACTGCCGCGGTCAGGCAAAAGGGCGCGGCGCAGCTGACCCGAGAAGGACACTGGCAGTGGCTGGCCCAGCGGCTACGCGAATGGAGATGGCGGCTTGCAGCGGTCCACTCCAAAACCAGCCGCGACGGTCAGCAACGACTGTGGCGCCTACCGTTACGTCTCATGAAGTATGCCCTCCCACAGCCCACACGCTGGCCCGGGATGTGGGAGGCCTGGCGATCTCTGGTGCGGCGACTGGACCGTCTGAGCGAGGATGACCTTGACCACTTGATGCACGACTTGGAGAAGTGCGCTGATCGGCGCTACAAGGCGTGGGTGGACTGGTCCCACGGCTCCACCACCGACGGCGGCATGCGGCGCGCCTTCAAGTGGATCAAGCAGGACGCCCCGTGAGCGTGCACCAACTCTACGGCAGGGCCAGGCGTCGCTAAGTCTATCGCGGACGAAGCACGTGATGCAGTTCAACCCTGGCACGACCTATGGGGACATGGTGGGGGCATCGGAGCAGTACGGTGGCCTGACGACATCGGCGGGATCGAGCTGCCGACGATCGACGACCTTCGGAAGACGGCGCACACCTTCAAGACAGATGCTGGGCTGGGCTGTGACGTGGTTCACCCTCGCCGCATGATTTTTCTCAGCGATGAGGCACTTCAGGCATTGCTGACGCTATGGAGCTCGATGCTGCAGCTTGGCCACGTCCCGATCCCAATTCGTGTTATGCGAGAAGCGCTTCTGCCGAAACCTGATGGAGGACGGCGCGCGATCGGCATTTTCCCTGGCACGGCGCGGCCGCTGACGCGGTTCCTACGGGCTACGGTAGGCGCGCAGTGGACGGACAAGAACAAGCGCAGATACATCTTCGGCACCGAGGGTCAGAGCTGCGAGGCCTGCGTCTGGCGGCAGGCGGCCGCGGGCGAGTGGGCCACGCATAGTGGCAAGATCTGCCTGTCAATTCTGTTGGACCTGTCCAAAGCATACGAGTACATCAGCTGGCATCGTTTGGCTGATCGAGCCAACGGACTTGGGTTCAACATGTACGTGTTACGGCTGCTGGTCAAGCTGCACGCCATGCCCGGGCCCCTCTCATGCGAAGGCATCGTCTTCGACCTGATGACGCCCATGCGCGGCGTAGTGGCTGTATGCTCCTTCGCTGATCTGATGATGCGCAGTTCTCCCATTCCCATTTTGGATGACCTGGTCACGCTACCAGGGATTTCTGTCGGCAACGTTGTTGGCGATATCCAGATGCAGGCCACAGGTGCTAGGACTACAGTGGCGCAGCAACTCAGCAAGGCATATTGCCAAGCAAGGGGTGCCTTGCAGGATGCCGAGCTCGTCGGCTACGATTTCCAGGCCGGCGTGGACCTCGGCAAGCGCTGCCCTTCGCTAGTACAGGCCAGAGACCAGTCGACGCGCAACCTGGGCTGCG